GAACTAGTTTTTCCTGTGTTAACCGCAACACAATCTGTGGTGATTGGCTGTTGTGACAAAGTAGAAATATTGTTCCAAACAGTTGTTCTTCAGAAACAAACGGACGTGTGATCAGGTCTGTGGAGTCGATACGGAAAATGACCGACTCCGACTCCTGGAATTTTACAGACTCTGACTCTCTCTCATATATATATATGTAAACATATACGCATGGGTTACAGCTTATTTTTTTGATGGCATAGTTAATATTTAAATTAATTAGCATTTATTATGAAATGGAAAAACTGGCATTAATTATTTCTAAGAAACAGTATAGCTTCGGCAAGATCTTCTTTGTTAGAGGGCCCTAAATCCGATTTGATAAACTTGAGAAAACTCTGATTTGATCCAATTTTAAAACTCTGATTAGTGTGGAAAGACCTGAGAAGAGTCTTTCCACACTAACCAGAGTAGGAGGAAGAGCTCTTACTGTTAGGGCTACTTTTCAGGATAGATTTTTATAAGTTCTAAAAGAGGTGCCTTGCAAGTGCAATCACATTTCTCTATTTCTTCAAAGGCCATGTAGAAATCTTATTTGTATTTTTTCATTTTTATATCTAAAAGCTGTTGGTTCTTTATTTTCATTCACTTTGCCTTAGCCTTTTCAATATTATCCAAAAATATTTCTCAAAATCTAATTCATCACTGGAAGAGGATGATAGAGACTCAATTGTGATGTCTGCAGTTTGACTGTCCTGCTTCGAATTCTCCAATTGTTCTGAGAATAATTTCATTCTTAATGAAAGTTCATAGATGGCTTTCTTTGCCTTTTTAATTTGTTCGTCATCCAAGAAAATTCAGTGTTTCGGATCTACATATATTGAACCCAGCAAGATCTCATTGTCTAGCAAACTAATTTCTCTTTTCTTCATTGAAGAAATTATTCCTTCTGCAATATGCCCTTCATTTCAGAAAGAACAAATATCACCTTCTTCCATTCTCGCCTCCTGCCAATTCTTCAGATTGCCACTTTTTTTGTGGCTATATAGGGTGTAAAAACAAGAGTTTCCAATTCTGCAAGGTCATTCCACAGTCTTTCTGTTAGTGAAACATTAGGGTTATCTACATCTTCTAAAAAGTTTCTTAATTCTAACAACCTCTTTATAATCAAACATGTACTTCCTCATCGCATTGCTTGATCAATAATTGCTCCTCTTCCTGCTCGCTTCCTAAGAATGGCATCAATTTTGGGAGTTCTTGCTGCTATTGCTGCTTACCTAAATTTGCCAGTGAGATTTGTAACTAAATAAATCAGTTTAATCACTAATGGCAAATATCACATCCATCCTCCTCCCTTATATTTATTTATTAATATGTTGATAAAATAGAAAATCACTATTTATTAATGTATATAATCCATAAATAAAAATAATAACTCAGTTTGTCATTAATGTTTCTTCAATTCATTTTCATTTCATTTCAAATTCAAACTGTTCCCAAAAAACTGGAGTCGGAGTCAGAGTCGACCTGTTTTTACAGACTCCAGCTCCGACTCCTTTTACCCAGAAATCTGCCCGACTTCGATTCCGACTCCACAGCCATGCGTGTGATAGCAGCCTAAGAACTCCATACAACAGCAATCAATCAATAAAATCAAAAAAAGAGGAAATACTGGTAACAAAACTCTTAGTTTTTTTTTTTTTTTTTTTTTTAAATCTTGCTGCTTTGCACTGATATTTTTCCCATGTACACAGCAATTTGTTTTTGCTTAAAAAAAGGATCGAACAATTGCACAAACTCAGCACGTGACAATTTCAGTATTCTGCATTGGACAAAACAGTCATGTTCTACCTGCATACCTGGGTTGCCACATAATTACCTTTTGGAATATTTACCTATTATCCCACTGACTATGAAAGTTTGTAGAGATCCTGCCAAAGTTGCACCATTTGTTTCTGTTGAACCTTGAGTTATATTTCTATTTCCAACCCTTATCACAAATCATTCACCAGTATCTCTGTACAATCTCCACCAAACAGCTACTATTGCAGAATTATTCTATTCACTTCCTTTTTGGACTTCATAAAAAAGGCTTTCTTGATTTCTACTACTTTATTAGGCCTTCTGATTTTACCAGTAGCTCAGTTTAGAATGCTACAAGTACAAACTTCCCACAGGTGATTGCTCTAATCTGTTACTGTTTTGCCCACCATATCCAGCTGTCCCCCCCCATTCAACAGATGTTAAGTCCCTGCAAATGAGCAGAAGTGAAGTAACAAATGTGACAACACAGGCCTCAAACTTATTTGTTTACAAACTGCAAGAAAAAATACAGCAATACCAGTTAATTTATATTTTTATTCATAAAACAAAAGGTGGGCTTATCAAGAATTAACAACATTAGATGAAAGAGCAAATATTATGAGCATGCTGTGATGTCATGTTTATGCACAACTGGTGCTGAATTGCCCTGCTTGATGATAATTTCAAGATCAAGGGGATAAGACATAAGTACCCTTTTTGGTGACATTGCGAGTTGCCACATAACTACTTTGGCAACATATTATTTTGTCTCGTAAATATATTCTCCTGACTTTTCGATAGGGTGTGGATAATCAGATGTACCAAGCACTGCTACAAGAGGTAAAAGCAATACATTTAATCTAATGGCAGCTTACAGCCAATGCTGGCACAGATACCTTTTCGTAAAAAGTTGCTTGGCTCATGCTGTCCTATAATTGGAAAGGATCTGCTTCCTCCTTATGTAAGTTGGTTCTTTGCTTGCAATTAAAAAAGGAAAACCTATTTAAAATTTCTAATAAAATGTTTCTTTTTATTAGTATTTATGAATAGAACAACACCTACTATTTATGAACAGAACAAATGGCCATAAAATCAGACAAATTTTCCCCAAATCACAAAGTCAACAATTAATTGGTGACTCTGTATGGTAATGCAGATAGCTGGAAAGTATGCCAAAAATTGTTCAACTTATTCAATTTTTATGCAAATTCTTCTGCTAAGAGAAAGTATGGTAGTACTCTTATATACACCCTCAGGTCGCCAAATGTAGCGATATGTGTTCTGCTCTGGTTTTTGGCACGATTGTGTGTTCTGCGATGGTTTTTGGCATGACATTGTTAGTATGGTAACCCTTTTGATGTTGAAAATTTATTATTTTGCTGGTTGGTTGGTTTGGTCAGCATTTGGAAATGGATTATGTTGCAATGAAGGATGTGGTGGCAAAATTTCAGTTGTGTATTTTGCATTGTGTGCAAAGTAAATTTACTATTAAAAGGTACAATGTTGGAGTTGTTAACAAGTCTTTTGTTCACAGGTGTGTTTATGCAGATCCAAGTGAATTTTTGGAATTTCTGTAGGAGTCAGAACTTTTGAAGCACAGTTGGACGCTCATATGAGAACTCATACGAAGAATGGCATTTCTGATGGACTTGTGTGGGTTTGCAGACAAATTGTTGCAGGTTGGTTATTGTTTTGCTGGTGTTTGAAATTGATATTGCTGCTGTTTGAAGAAGATTCACACAGCGGTAAGTTCATTTTTTTTATTCCTATTTTGTAGAATGTTATGTTCATTTTTTTTTCTTTTTTCTATGAATTTTTGTCGTTATTAGTTGTTTTTTGAATTGTTTGTAATTTATTTTAGTTATTTTGGTTTATTTTGTTGATTTGTGCATAATGCCGAGGCTGTGCAATTCACAGATTTTTTTAAAGTTAAAACAGAACACTGTATACATGGTATTGTTTGAAATTTATTGTTGTTATGTCAGTTTATTTTAGTGAGGTGTGCATAATTCTGAGATTCCTTCGCTACATAGATTGTGCAGTCCTCTGATGTTTTTTTAAGTTAAAACAGATGACTGTGCACATGGATTCTTGTCAGATATTTTTGGTTAGAAACTTTACGTTTTTGCTATCTAAATTTTTTGTTTTTGTTTCGGATTTTCGGCGTAAACCGTGTGTTGAAAACATGGTTTTTGCAGACACTTTAGGCTTAAAGTTCAAAATGTAGACAAAAAATTTAGATAATAATAAGATGCTGTGGAGTTTTTCACCAAAAGTGTTTGGCCAGAAATTTGCCACCAACAGAGGGTGTATATAAGAGTAGTTTCGAAAATGCAAATATATATATGCAATAATGAACAAAAGATGCAGACTGATGCTGAAGCATATATAGAAGATCCACAATGAAGAATAAATTTGGCAAATCTGTAATTTTGGCGACTTCTACTAAGGTGGTTGCCATAACATGTAAGTACCAAAAGTTTATCTTTGAAAGTGAAGAATAAAACAGTTATTTTGCTGTTAGAAGTGGCCTTATCTTTCTTTGCATTTTTCAGGTATTATTGCAACTCATGGCCTGGAATGCTGCTAATTTAGTAAGCTGCTGCTATTTTATATAACACAAGATTTTTAATTTATCCTCCATACAGCCTGCTAAATTGCCAGTCCTGACAATTTGGTAAGCACAACCATTTGATATGGTATATGGTTCTTGATTTTATCTTTCAAAATTAAAACTGCATATAACTTAATAAACTGCATAACATAGAGGCAAATGATATAATTCTTAAAAAAAGTATCCTCATTTTATTTATAATGATACATCTAATTCTTGTAATTTAAAATGTATCTCGCAGATAATATTCATAAATATTTATACCACTATTTCAATAATAAAGATTATATCAGTACTTTTTTAATTTACAGGATGCCATTTGGTCTTAAAAATAAATGCTGGCATGAAATCTGATTAGACACATGGAATGGCAACACTAATACTATAAAATAATATAATATAACATCTTCATGAAAAGTGTTGCTATTTTATTGCAACTCCTCCCCCCCAAAAAAAAATACAACTCCTCACACAACAAGAACAACAAAAACAAAAAAGCAATTAGTATTTCAATTGACACAAATAAACTACATAGTTATCAGAAATGGAAAACATGAATCTTCAAATGCTGTCTCTTTTGATTACAATAAAACAAGTATATTACCTTCAGGAATCAATGCAGTTACTAACGGTGGTGCTGGTGGAGGAGACAAAGGCTTGTCATTTAGAACAATGGCTGGAGGAGTAGGTTTATTTTCCCCAGGTACTGCAATTTCAAGCTCAAATCTGGTAACAATGAAACAGATAAAAAATTAATAAACAAGAAACAACAACAACAAAAACATGTTCGTATTTCAGTTACATCTGTATGCTAGCTTTACTGACATGACATAAAACATTTCTAGTGATACTTCTCTATAGATTATGCTTCAGAATGTAAATGGGTGGAAAGGAATCCAATTTTCATGAATTCAGTTTTTTTATCGTATTGTGAATTACCGATAACAAAAAGTTTGCTTCACTCTCATACCCATTAGAAACAAATCTGATATTACTTTTAGTTGAAAGGGGAAAACATCAAAGATCATGAAGAATTTTAAAATGGCTGTAATTTTAAAATTCTGCTTTTTGGCCTATAACCTGAGCATTTCAACCTGATAAATATTTGAACATACATATTACTGCATAGATATGTAAGTGTATTAAAATAATCTAATAAATATAGTTAATTCTGTCTCAATATTAGATCATTTTCCTTTTTCACACAGTTTAGAAAATGTCCAATTTTCTTTTTACAAGATGTATTCTAATAGAACTAAATTCAAGTGATATATATATATATATAAAATGTTATATGATTTTTATATATATATACTGATCAAGTTGAAACAAAATAAGTAGTCTATATTTACGTATTGTATTAAAACCTATATTTAAACATAACTAAGGTTGGAGCTTTTGCAGGCAGCCTGTCTGCTTCATCAGCTACAATGCAAATGAACAGCTCATTCAAATTCACCTCCTTCTGTTATTGCTTCTGTTATTCACCTCCTTCTATTATTGCAACTCATGGCCTGGAATACTGCTAATTTAGTAAGCTGCTGCTATTTTATATAACACTAGATTTTTAATTTATCTTCCATACAGCCTGCTAAATTGCCAGTCCTGACAATTTGGTAAGCACAACCATTTAAGGTTGTATTTGTAAGGCTGCTCTAATTTTGAGAATTGATGTCCAAATGTATAATAGACTAAGAAAGTTTTCTGTTGCAAGATGATCTTGTGGCGATTTCTGAAGCCAGGGGTTGTTGATGATTTTAGCTTTATCCCATTCAATTACCAAATCTTAATATTCTAAGCAATATTTTACTAATCTGCTATTTTTATTGCTATATTGGTTGATAGAAAATTTATAAATATTTTTCATATGTTCAGCAATTTTTATTTATATTTTTTTAGTGTAGAAGAGAGAGCTCCTTGAATTGGTGCTGGTAACCTTGAGCTGGCTCTACTTATGGCAGTGTCTCCACTGTGTTACGAAACCATTTTTTTATCATGGGATGTGTATTTCTTAAGTTTAATCTGAATGGATCTTCTTAGTTAAGCAGTCAAGGACTATGTAATATATAAGCGTACTGCATGCTAAGGGTGCATATAGGAGTATTTTTGGAATTTTAAACTAGTGTTAATTGACTGTTGGCTTTCTTTAGCTGGCTGTAGCTTGTTCTTTTAATTAGCTTTAAGTATGAATGACCAGTTTGTATGAAAGGTATGTAGCTGGTTGAGAGTAAAGATTGATCATATGGCCTCCGGTAGGTTTGCCATGAGAAAGAGTACATGGTTGGAAGAAAGCAAGATCAGTATAATTGATGTTTTAATTTTTTCCCATTTGTAGGCACATGAAGCTGGAAAAAATCTGCTTATGAATAAGGTGAATGCCTGTTGGAATAAAATTGCAGTTGATTGAGGAAATTTTTAAAGAGAAATGCATATGGATGTGTACATGAAAGAGAGAGAAATGATTGGTGGCCCTGGTATGATTGTAAAGACTGATGAGAGCCATCTTGGCATAATTACTTCTTAGAGCCATCCTCGCGTGAAAAAAAAAAAAAAAAAAAAAAAAAAAATTAAGGGGCATTTGATTGAAATGCTCACCTTTGCTTAATATCAAATCACCATACTGAGTTATTAATGCAGCTTAGTTTCATTTACTTCTACAATTTACATTCAGAACAATCATATTTTCCAGAATTTATATTCAGAACACAGATGATGTCAATTGTATGGTCATACTTTCAAAATAGTTTTAACTTTAACAATGCACATAGCTAATGCTGAATTCTTGAATTTCTCTAAATGCAAACAATTTAGGGTGTCAAAAATCCTAACTTCATTTTAAATTAAAAAAATGGATTTTTTTAAAAATTTAAATTGAATTAATAAAAAATTTAATCAGATTTTTTATTGTTCTTCTAATTCAATTTATTAAATGGTAATCAGGCACTAAAAGTTTTTCAAAACAATTAAACCCCAAATTACATGATATTAAGAAGCATAATACACATTTTTAATCATAAATTAATTCAATAATCAGAGGTAATATAAATTGCACATAATTTTACTAATTAATGTCTTAAAATAATATAATATCCTGGTAGTTTTTCGACATTAGTAACTTGCAAGAGTCACTTTTATCACTTATATATTTAGTCATTTAAATACAACATGTATCTTTATTACATATAGGTTATATATAAACTTATAGAGTCAAAAGTCTTTAATCCGGAATGATCTACAATCCGGACCTCAAAGCTTCAAACTTTCTGCGCATGCGTAAATGCATAATGCATTTATACATGTGCATAATACCTTTATGCATGCACATAATACGTTTATGCATGCTCGTTTAATGTATAATGGACGGTATAAGCTAAGCAAAAATTATCTAATTATCTATTTCAGTTAATGTTGCAGATTGTGTTTTTCCTTAATCTTCTCATTGGATCCGGCTTATTATTTTTTGCAGTCTGTTAGAGCAATTTTATAAAACGTAAGCTTGAACTTTCGATTAACTCAAAAAGAGTTTCCAATTCTGGAGCTGCCAAAGGATCTACAAAGCAAAATCATGTTTCGATGTCCATTAAACAAAAAGTGGAATTGCTGCAAAAAATGGATAAAGGCATGAAGAAAGTGACAGAAAGGTAATTTGTTTCTCTAACCATTCCGAAATCTGTTTATCAATTTCACGCTGCTCTGCGGGGGAAAGGGGGGGTCGTGGCACGCAATGAACTGGAAGTTGATCTGTAAGCGCTATCCTCATCTTCAGGGCAGAAGATTTTATTTTATTTGGCTCATAATTCCTCACTAAATGTAGTGTTTCATCTTGATGTACTCCGATATAATTTAAATCAATTTCCTCATCATTATAAATACCACGAACACACTTCAAATAGTTTTCTGGTTGCAATTTTCTAATTTCGACTATGCGTAATGTATGCTTTATGCATGCGCACATTGAAAGAAATGTTTAATAAAGTAAACAAATAACTATTAAGCTTTTTTTTTTTTGTAAATTTTGATACCCTTTAGATCATAATTGCTCTTTATTTCATAAGTTACGGTTTCATATTTTTAATTTTATAAGTTCTGCATGACATCTTATCAGATTTAAACTGATGATGTATAATCCAGAAAAATCAGCCGAAGTCTTGACGGGAGTCCGGATTAAAGACTTCTGACTGTATATATAAAAGTTGCAGGTTAAAGCTAAGGCGGCACCTGTGCATTCCATAAGTATATATCGATTATTGTTCAGCTTTGTTATTTGTTAAACTTCTGCCCCAATTTTGAGGGAGAACATCCTAGGGTCAGCCCGACGGAGACCCTCACACTTCTTCCCCTATCCCCCAACTTCTTGGGAAGACTTTTGGCTGCCTGTGTATTTTGACCGTCTCCTTGCAGCACAGATATTATATGCTTATAAACATCTATGCCTTCTCCAGGAGTCGAATCCTGGACCACTAGTAGAATACTTGGTTAATCTTTGGATTATGGTAACTTGGCGATTTTTTGGCGACCAACCCTGCTACAGCAACCTGCTAGTTTTTGTTTGGATGCCATTTTGTTTTCACAAAGGCTTTTTTTTTTTTTTAACTAAAAATTTTTTTCCAACAATCTGCTAGCTGAATTACCCTTATGCTAAAACTTTTATGGAACAAAAGTGCTTAATCATGCCGAAGATTAGCTGCAAAATTGGGAGAAAGTGCAGAATCGCAAACTGCTTGCCACGTTTTTAATAATTGCACATACACGGTATCCATGTACACGTCGACCTATTTTCCCTTAAAAAAAATCCCAGAATTGCACAACAATGGCATTGCGCACACTCTTGACTTTATCCATGTACACTGCTAAAGTCCTAGCTAGTAGCCTTTATCCTTTTACCAAAATGTCGCCAAACTACCTGTTACCATATTCCAAAGATTAGCCGAATACTTAGCATCACTAATCACTATACTATACTGTCTGAGCAGCCATATACACTAACCAGAAAACAAATAAAGCTTTTGGTGCTGTATCTTTTATAAGAGTATAAATAACCAAACAAAGCAAATATAACTATAGGAATGACACTTGTATCTGCAATAAACATAATATTTTCAAAATAGTAACATTATACTACTTGTATTATTGCTACTTGCATTTAATACTTTAAACAGGTATTTAAATAGGGGAAAAAAAAAAATGCTGTCCTTTCAACCTTTGGCTGAATTCTTTCAAAGCACAATTCTGCCACTCAAGTGTGCTCACTAACTGCCTCATTTTTAAAATGGTTCTACATAAAAATAAAGCACAAATTATAAGCTTAATTATAATACTGAACAAAGCTGTGCTTGCACATTTTTCTTTTACTAATTCCAAAGCCTCTTTCTTTTCACCTACTTATAAGGCTTCATCATTTTATTTTGGTAATGAAATATACGCTAAAAAATGTGCTTGTTCACATCATGTTTTAACATGCTCGCTGTCAAAGTTGATCTGGTGCATCTGTTCACATGCACCAAGATTTTATCTGCAGTTTTAAATCTTAAAATTATACTCTACTGTTTTATTATTCAAATATACATATAACAGATTACTTTTAGCAGTAAATAAATTCATATGAGTGTACATGTAGAAGGCATATGAAATAATATTTTTGCTCCTTGCCTACTAGAAAACCAAGAACTAAATAAATAATACTTACCTCTTCTGCACATTCAGACAAAATTCTGCATGTGTGATACATTATTTTTCATTAAGGCCATCTACATAGTGGAACTTTGCAATGTACGCTAACTTGATTGCTCCTCCTAACCTAAGAGAAGCAACCAATTTTGGAAGAGAATTTCAGTCAGTTGACAAAAGCCCAAGAGATGGAAAATCATAATTCTTAGGTTTACACCAACTAGCTCAAATTCCCTTTCAACACTGGCCACTTGGCTTAGATTAGACAGAGCAATCGAGTTAGCATATCTTCACTGAGAGCAAAGTTATGCTATCGTTAATGGCTGTAATTATACAGGTCACTGAACAAGAATTTGAACAGTCTGTAATATTTCCCAAATGAAAAACTCCCCTCCCCCCCAAAAAAATAGTTTGGCATTCTAAACATTTTGTTACTATACCCACATGTTGATATATAAATGATCTATTTCAGTATATCACGTGGCATTATTTAGTCCTTTCCTGTGCAAGAAACAACTGTAATAAGAATTTGAACAGTCTGCAATATTTCCCAAATGAAAAACTCCCCTCCCCCCAAAAAAAATAGTTTGGCATTCTAAACATTTTGTTACTATACCCACATGTTGAGATATAAATGATCTATTTCAGTATACCACGTGGCATTATTTAGTCCTTTCCTGTGCAACAAACAACTACACATATTGCATGCATTTGCTACAGCAATATTCATACTTGGTGATTTAGGTAAAGCGATCAATAATAAGTTGTCTCGTAGTTGGCAAGTAAACCAAGTTTGCCAACATTCTCGTAACATAAGTATAAGAGTATAAGAGTCAAGTATGTATTCTCGTAAACATAAGAGTCAAGAATGCTGTAATCTGTAATTATCCTTCTAAATTTTATCCAAAACAAGTAGTTTCAAACAAAGTAAGAAACGTTCTACCTTTCGCTGATTAATTTTTGATTGAATATTCTTGTCCACTGCATTGCAGTTCTCTTCCACAATTTGCACTTTTTACAAAAAAAAAAAAAAAAAAAAAAAAAAAAAAAAACTGGCTCGTAACCACATTGCATATGGGGATAACACTTCTGCAAACAGCCTGATCATCTGAAATTGAATCTAGTGATTTTACCATTCTGCCCCGGTGGATAACTAACTAAAACCGATGTTTGATGATAATAGCTTCACAAACACCCACATTATTTTGTAAAACATCAGGTAAAATCCTAGGAGAGCCCATACTATTGGTGACAAACTGGGGAAAGTGTAGAATCCCCCACTGCTTCGCACATTTCTCAAAATCGCCAACTTGAAAATAACAAGTCAAAAAATTGCACAAACTCGGTATCCATGTACACATCGACCTATTTTCACATAAAAAAAAAATCCCAGAATTGCACAAACTTGGCATTGCATACTCCTTTGACTTTTATTAACATTTAAAATTACCTCTTAAATTCTTTTAATACAACTAATGAGGTGAGATGGTCCTTTAATTTTATGTTCATATTTAATTCTAAAATAAAATCAAAGATTAATCAAAAGAATATAATCAAGGTTATAATCAACAGAAAGTAGGGCTTAGGGAATGTACTCTTTTACTTGGACTCACAACTTCATTTTTGTATTAAGAAACAGGAAATAAAACAACCCACAGAAATACACATGTACAGTGTAATCAGAATACCTGCTCATTTCCTCCTCCATTTCTTTCCTTCGCTCCTCTGTCATTAATGCCATTTTTGAAGATATGAAGGTAAGACAGAAATTATGAAAAATTATTTATGAACTGATAACTAAAATTTAAAAGAGAGAAATTATACTTATGATATTAATTATGGTAAGCAATTTGTTAGATTTGCGTCTAAAATTGAAAACAAAAATTGCGTCTAAAACCGTAGAAATGTCTGAGCGCAAATGATTTCAAACGCAATTACAAAATTCAAACGAACACTTTCGAGAAAATCACTTTATTTACTCCAAACAAGAAAGTTTCTTAGTGCACTATGAAGTCTTTTAACCCGAAGGATGGTACAGCATGACATTTTTTTCACTTCCGGTACTGTTTCATATTTTATATTTAATCTCAAATTTAACAAAATGCATAAATTTCATCTCTAATAAAAATTTAAATTCTTAATTTTTCAAATTTTGCAATATTGCACATTGAAAAGTTTTGCATATTTATACGCTGTATAAAATGATAGTTATCATTTTGACGAAAATATCGTCACTGAAGTTATAAAGGTAAGTAATGAAATAAATATTTTTATGCAATTTCTTGACGGGTTTTCGATGCTGATATAATAAATGATGTGGAAAATGTTGCTTGGCAAATATTTACATTTAACTTATTGGCAATACCAGTTCATTTGCGGTAAATTTTGTATTTACAAACAGTCTGTTGTTGTTTTCTCTTGATGAACTGTGATTGCAGCGAAATCAAAGTCTTTTCCTTCATAAATTTACCTGCATTTAAAAATTTATATACTTTCTTTCCGTATGGAACTCAGAAGAGAAAATATCTGCACTCATGTCACTGCTTTGAAAGTATTTGCAAACATTTTATTTGTGGGTAAGCATCCAAGTATTAGATTTTTATCAGATGGTTAAAAATATAATTTTTTGACTTGGAATTGGGATTTTAATATCAGTTTTTGAAGGAAAAAATTATTGGCTGAAATTAAACTTTCGTATGCTCCTTCCAAAAAAGAACAGTTTACATTGTTTTCTAACTAGTGAAAAAGAAAGAGGCTATGGAGTTTTTAGTGGACGGAATTAGTGGTCTTATCGCTTATAGGGCAGTTTTCGGATAACCGTATGAGCAACCTTGGACAAAAAACATGCTTACCGATACGCGCAAACAATTCATTCATGCGGTATGCAATTTATTTAATATAAATTCGTATTTCTAATTTAAAATTAATATAATGTATAGAAACATACCGAAATAATTACATATATCGTTGTTTTTTTCAAACGACTTGACATCTGAAACTTTATAGGCTCATCTGGAATACCCCAAAAGCCTATTGGTTATTCTGACTTGTCACTGGAATCAATCAATCAATCAATGCAGTTTATGCCGGAGTGTTGCAGTGGATACACTACAGAAATCCGGCTCAATGATAGATATGCCACAAGGACGCATGAAAGTACAAGTACAAGACGTGGTAGGGGATTTTCGGACGTAGAAAAAGAAAAGTGTGATTCAAGACATCACAAGCAGCGATAACTCAGATTAGCTCAAAGACCAGGAGGGGCGTTGCTAGAGAGGTGCATGTGAATGTGCATGATCACGATGAGTGGGTGGAAGATATCACAATACACTCATGACAAGTTTATTTGATCTAGAAAGGTACATGGAAATACAACAAATAAAATAAGATTAAAAAGTAACAAATACAAAATACTAATATGAGATACAATACAGTAAGCAAACTATTTACATATGTACAGCGATGTTGCCTAGGAAGTGTGCAAAGTTACGTGGGAAAATTTGAGTCACGGGCGAGGTAGGCCACGAATGGTTGGAACTTATAATCCTCGGGAAGAACTACATAATCAAACACCTTGAAAATTTGGAGGTCTGGGCAATTGAGAGCCTTATCAAAGAAGTTACTGTTGGTCTTATGGACGAACTCTTCTACCTTTTCAATCTTTAAATCCCTATGCAGGTTGTCGTTTGACACATAATAGTGTGCATTAGTAGTCTCAAGAACTTATTCTGAATGACCTGCAGTCTCTTTAAATCCTTATTAATTAGAGTTGCCCAAGCAGGGGAGGCGTACTATTGCCGTGTAGATGTGCCTTTTATGAGTGAGATTCAGCTTTGATGTTCTGCTAATTAAAGGAACAAGACAGTTAATTGCCAAAAAAGCTTTTCTTCTTGCATTATTGATATGATCGTCCCAGGTGAATCTTGTGTTGAGTGTGACCCCCAAATAGGCAGCCTTTCTGACAATTGGAACATTATCGTTGAAGATTTTTATAGTCATATTGAGCGGGGTCCTAGACTGTTTCTTTTTCATTACAATGAGTTGCGACTTCTGTCCATTAATGGAAATCCGCAATTGGGTACACCACTGTTCTATGAGAGGAATAATTTCTTGTAACTGCTTAATTGCAAATTCTAGGTTGATAGACTTTACTGCCAGAGCCATATCATCAGCGTAGCATCCAAGATACGTATTATGATCGGTGCAAACCTTGGGGAAGTCTGACACGTAAATGTCACTGGAAATTGTGGAACTACTCTTATATACACCCTCGCTTGGCGACAAATTTCTCGCCAAATATTTTTGCCGAGAAACTCCACAGTGCCATATTACTATCTAAATTTTTTGTTTACATTTTGAACTTTAAGCCTAAAATGTCTCCAAAAACGCAGTTTTCGCACACGCAAAAAACACATTTTGAATAGGTTTTAAGCTAAAAATGCGAAACAAAAACAAAAAATTAGATAGCAAAAGTCAAGTTTCTAACCAAAATATTTGACAAAGTCCATGTACACAGCGATATGTTTACCTAAAAAACATCTATGAATCACATTAGGCAACAAAGGAATCTAGACTAAACACCTCGTTTATAAATTAACAAACAAAATGAATTTCAAAGATACCATATACACAGCATTGTTAAAAAAACATCAACGAGGCTCAATCTAGGCATTGTCCAATCAACAAAAAGACACATAATTACACATTCAGAAAACAACAATAAAACAGAAATCTATAAAATCAATGAACATAACATTCGACAAATAAAAACAATAAAATAAAATGCACTTTCCATAATGGATGCTTCTTCGGATAGCAGAACGTAGCTTTAACATGCCGCAACTTACTCTCTATGATATTTATATGACAGCCAGACTGGCTATTCACAAAATTCATACTATGGTTTACAAATAAATGTTCAAAACCTTCTTTTCCTAAATCCTTAGGATTTTACTTTGCCCACAATCTAAAATACGCGACTGAAATTTTGCCACCCCTGCTCTCATTGCAACATAGGCCATTTCAGAACTCGCACGACACGAACCAACGAGAAACCACTGCAGCAAAAGAGTTAAGTCAAAGAACGTCTATGTATATTCTTTGGTTAAGTTTCAATGTCAAAAGGGTTGCCATACAAACAACATCGTCCCCAAAACCAGCACAGAGCACATATTGCCACATTTGGTGATCTTAGGGCATATATAAGAGTAGAGCTGAAATTTTACCTAGGGTGCACCATAGAAAGAAACCCAAATTATGTAGTTGCAAAAAGGGAATCTCCATCACACTTATGATGGAAAACACCCCAAAGCCACAGATCGGAGGCTTTCTAACCACCAAACCTTTTAAGAAAAGTCTTTTTAAAAGATTTAGTTTGATTATATTTTAAGTGCCCCTATGCCTCAAAGATACAAAAATGATTTGTTTTTGTTATTTTTTTATAATATGATGTTTAATAAGATTGACACCATTCTCGTTAAGATTTAACCACGATCGAATTTGTGGTTTAAAATATGCATGTTTTAGAAGTAATGTACTTACTTATGCTCTAGAGCAGTGGTTCTCAACCTTTTGACTAATGAGTACCCTCTAAGCAAAAATTTAAATATTTAGTACCACCATCACATTTTACAAAGATTTTTTTCAATAGAAATATTTAAAAAATATATATAAATATATTTTGCTATTTACACAACCTGTTGGCTATTTGAATTAAATATGCACACATAAAAAATAGTGGATTAAAAACTGGTTACCATTTTATTCATCAAAATTTAAGTTATAATACTCTAATTCTAAAATTTAGTATGAAATTTGGGCTCTTTTAAGAGAGAGATCAATTTTTTTTTATGCCAGGTCTTATTTCAGTTAGTTTTAACTGTAAATGAGGATCCACTTTTGATTTTGTTCTTATTTATTTTTCAAATATAACATGGAAGAAAATCTTTGTTTACACAAATAGGTTTTTCTCTTGCATGCCACCGGTTGAGAATTGCTCTAGAGATATAAGAATCAATCTGTGCATTCCATTGGCATCACTTAGCATGGATTTCCCCCCTGTCATATATTATTCAATTCACTACAGTAAAAAAAGAAATCTAGAAGAGATTCTATGTCATTTAAATTTGCAAAATAGTATTTATATGTATAATTTTTTAATATAAAATGGTTATAGTGGCCTTTTGTTTCATTCAGGTTTTAAATTAACTGAGATCCTCATATCTGATAATCAGTATTTATCTTTGTCTTATTTATGTAAATATATACAAGGATATGTATTATTTTTCATTTTAACCATGTAGGGGAAGGCAACCAAGTATCTGTGTTTAATTGGAAAACAAAAGCATTGTTGAAGAAAATAATTGTTTTTAGAGCTTCTTTTATTCATGGGATCAAAATAGGTAAGAATATGTTATTAAATTATCATTATTGATGTTATTAAAATGTTATTTAAAATATATTGTAATAATTCGACAATATTTATGTTGATTTTCAATCTGTGTTGCTATTAAGTTTTTCAAAAGTGCGCCAAATCTAGCGTACACGCTGATTTCAGATTGCGTTAAGTTTATATAGTTCTATATTTCTTAAGACGTCATTGAAATACTAGTTTCATTTTTAAATCCTTTTTTGATATCCTATGGATTTAACAATTTAGGAATTGCCCATGACGAAAAGTGTCCAATAGAATTTTAAGTGAAGTGCAGAATCACCCGCTGCTTGATGCGTTTTTAAGAATTGCACATACTCGGTATCCATGTACACATCGACCTATTTTCACTTCAAAAAGAAAAAAAATAATAATGATAAAATCCCAGAATTGCACAAAAATGGCACTGCGCATACCCTTGACTTTATCTATGTACACATCGACCTATTTTCACTTAAAAAGTAAAAGAAAATTGACAAAAATCCAATTGTTTTTAGCCTTGTAAAAAGTGGCAAACAAATAAGTGGACGATTCTGAACTTTAACCGAGAATTTTTTCAGAGAGAAGTCATCATTCATTATAGAAAATTATGTTTGAAAACCAACGAGATGAAACTGTGCTCTAGCTATAACTCGTTAGCGAAATAGTGATGCAGGCATCCATTCAGTTATGTTTAGCAATTTTTATGTAAATTATAATAATGATCTGAAACAGTTATTTATTCTTCTTATGGTTCCATTCAGTCATGTTTTTTTTTTATATAAATAATAATAATAAAAAAGTATTACATGAAATTAACCTTTCATCTAAATGAAAACATCAATCTTAGATGGTTATTTACTATTATACTTCCTTTCTTGCATTAGGGTTGCCGCAATTATTTTTGGCAGCACTGGCATCAACAATAGTTTGGCCATTTTTCACAGCCCTCAAAACCGAATAGTACCAATTTTAATATTATTTTATCTAATAAAATTGCTGCAGATATTTTAATTATTATAAAGTATTAAATGTTGAACATTTAAGATAATGTAATACGAATAATTACTTTTGAGTTTTGTATTTTTAAATATATTAGTTTGATGCAAGATAAATTTTCAGTTTTATATGAAAGCAAAAATGAATATTGTATTTTGGTTGATCTTTACAATATGGTAACTGGTAGTTTGGCGACATTTTGGAGGCAATAAAGGTTACTACCTGGGACTTTGGTAATAATGTGAGCAGTACTCAGTTCCAATTACGCATTATTTTGTGTGAGGTAAACGAGAGATCATGGGATATGTCATGAGATATTAATGGACGAATTACGGTTTTCTTTAATCGAAAAGGGGGGAAATCGGGAAAAATGTGAAATTTTGTGTTTAGCTTATTCTGTGTTGTGTGAAACAGTGTGTTAATTTTGGATCCATGGCCCTAACTAAAGTGAATTTGAAATGGGTATTTAGGCATTGTGATAAAGAGAAGTTTGCTTTTATTTAGCGGAGGAATTATGGAGGAAAAATTCGCAAAAAAAATCTTCAATAATTTTATTGAATGAATTAGAAAAGTTATCCGCCACGTAATCAAGATTCTGAAGAAGATTAGGTAAGATAGTATTTTTAATTATTTGAGGATATTATTTTATGCATTGTTCTAAATGTAAGGTGGAAGGAATTTGGTATTATTGGGAAAATTGTTATTAGCAATGATTTAGTTTAAAGTATTAGGATTGTAAGGTAATTTTTTTAATTTAGTATGTGCTCATTTGGGGTTTTTTTAAGTAAAAATAGTCGACGTGTACATGGTTTAGTGATATTTTAATTAAATGATAGTATTTTGTGAATTTTATGTTTGTAGGAATTTGGTATACGTTTAAGTTGAAATAACGTGCATGGAAATAATTTAAATATTTGATACTAAGTATTTGTAATGCTTGCCGTATGAATTCGTTGGTGACGTGTATAATGTGATAGATGATTTAGAGGTAAAAGTTTTTGGATATTTTATTTATTTTATATGTGGAAATGTTCATATTTGTAAAGGTAAATACTTTTTCGCGATCAGGTAATTTCATATATATTCTTTTTACCGGGTTTAAAGATTGAGAAAATTTCATGTATTTTTGAATTTTTCTAATTTATGAGAAAAAAGCAGTGTACAGGATATAGTGAAGAGTGTGCGCAATGCATTTTTGGCAATTCTGGGATGTTTTTTAAGTAAAAATAAGCGGCGTGTACATGGTTTATGTGTATGTGTTATTTTGAAAAACGCGTAAGGAGTATGGTTTTGTGCACTTTTTCCAATTTGCAGTGACATTTGTCATGATTAGCAGTTTTGTTTGAAAAATTTAGCATAAAGGTATTGGGTAGTAGATGTTGGAAAAGTGTTCGAGTAAAAACAAAGAAACATGTCTTTACTTCGTGAAGACAAAATGGCGGTGGGGAAAAAAAATGAGGGTCTGTAGGAGAGTTGGTTGCTAATTTCGCCAAAAATCGCCAATTACATAATGTAAAATCAACCTGATTTTTTATTGTAATATTTTTTAAATAATAATACAGTAATCTTTGACCTACATAAAGTGCTTTTTTTTATATTCAGTGTATATTTTACTTTTTAAATACATTCATCATGAATTCATTATATCCTTTTAAATTATTATCAGAAAATTTTGCAGGAGGCTAATTATCGACCTATTGATGCTTAATTAAATATTTCTTGTTTTAAATTTTATTTAGGTAATGCTGACAAAGCTTTGCTGTTTGGGGGAAAAAGTTTTAGAGTTTATACACTTTGTTTCAATCTCGAATGGTATGTTATCTTCATCTTTGGTTTTCATTGAATAAAATTTTTAGCAGCTTCTCTATAGCATAATATATTAAATGCTATATAAAAAATGCTATATATTAATTAAAATGCATATAAAAAAATGCTTTGTCATATATACAAATTTTTGATTTATTATCATTATTTAAATAACTCCATATCTTATATCCCCTTTGTGATGCACAATATTTTGGTGTTGTAATTAGCAATAAATATTTTGACTTGTGATTTTACTGGATATTGCCATAACATGTCTAAATATAATGTATTTAGAAGTATCAGAAAACAAATATTTACATGAGAAGCATTCATTTTATACTAAGGGTAATTAATATGATTAACTTGTAATGAATGAAAATTTAATAATTTCTATTTATACATTAATAGCTGGAAGTTAAAAATTTTTAAATAAATTGGCGATTGCTTTTTTGATATATGAAATGTATAAAAAATATTTAATCAAAAAATCTGATGTGGACATTGTGTGACTTCCTTATATGCCTATTAAATTATACACATTTTAAATTTAACATACTTCATTTAAAATTATTTCCTAGAATTATTCTAATTTGATTAACTGATTCTCTCAAGGTAAATTGAAAATAGCATTAAAAATTGCAAATTTTGAAATTAAATACTTCACTTAATTTTTGTCGTATGGGAAAGAAAAACCTAACTCTTCATAAAAATCAGTACTAAAATAACTCATTCACCATTATATATTTTTAAAGTTAATCACCATTTTCAACAATATATTCAAATATAAACATTCAAATTCCAATTTTATTCTGTTGCCAAATGCAAAAACAATAATGACAAAACTATATTTGCTTTAACATGGACAGTAACAATGTGAGTTATAGCATACTCTCATCTTTTGTCTTGCTAATTTAATTAGAAAGACAAAACTACAGATACCAAAATGGAGAATATTTATGCACAAATACTTATAAACAGAACTTATACAAAATAAATTAATTGTGAATCTAGTCTTTAAGGCTTCTTTACTTAATTAAGACACAATAACATGCCGAATAAATACTGATTCAGAAGTCAAACAACAAAAATCAGCGTTATATCTAAAATTGACAGACTAGTTTCGATGGTTTTACCGAACCACCATCTCAGATGCATCCTGACAAATATGTTTTAGTTCTGGTTTCACAACAGAAGCGCACTGTTATTCTGTCTAAGTTTCTTTCTATCTAATCATTTTCCTATCTGTTAATTGGGTTTGCAGCTGAGGATGGTGGTTCGGTAAAACCATCAAAACTAGTTCTGAGAAAATTTTGTAGATATAACGTTGATTTTTGTTGTTTGACTTCTGAATTAGCTTCTTTACTTGTTGACCACTTTATCTAGAAACCTGTTCCCAGAGGTGGATGAACATCTTCACCTCTGCATTTGTGTCCAAAGACTGATATCTAACTGGATGTCAGTTTTGCATTTATATTTTCATTAGAAGTTTTTCAGTGATATTCTGTATTTATGATTATGTAATTTTTAGTTATGGATACAAATAAAAATCTAAGCAACTGATAAAAAATATATTTTTAATGATTTTTTTTAAAGTTTGGCTTAGCGATGTGAAATATCCCATCCTGTGGTTTGGTTTGTTTGTTTAAGTATAGCAAAGCACTTGAGGGCTATATGCCTAAGGTGAGAGATGCCTTCATGGAGGCTCGGACCGAACTACCAGTGTTCAACAATGTTACTGCTCAGCTGCTGGTTCACAGTCCTATGAGATCATACTACTGCAACAGAATATCATCTCCAAAGTGAGTTTCACTAAACTGCATGCTGTCACATAAGAGGATTAAGTATTGATTTGTACATGGTACATCCATTGTGAAGGAATTAAGGAATTGTGGTTATACTCAGTAAGCATCGTATTGTTGTGTGAGCAAGAAATACTATGGAACGAACAAAATGATTAGCTCCATCTCCAAAAATGAGATGTGTTTGGACCTTCAGTATTCCATTATCTCCATAAAATTTCATTGATCTCTCATGTTTCTCACTGTTATCCTCTGACCATTCCTTCTGAATAATCTTTTATGAGTATTCCACTATCTCCTTAAAATTTCATTGATCCCTCATATTTCTTACTGTTATCTTCTGATCATTCTTTTTGAATGCGATAAACTTCAGCTCTTCACTTGTCATGTTCTGAGAAACAGATTTAACGTCCTTTCTTAAAATATTGTAAAATCTCATTATCCAAACGATCACCCATAATATTCAAGGATATTTTGAAAAATATAAGAATCATTGACTAAATGTTTGATCTTGAGTATTTGAGACACCCAATACAATTTTCCTTCATTCTTGCAAAGCTTCTTCTGAGCAAATTAATTTTATGTCAGCTCATAACATTTTAGGACCTTTCAACCATGGAGGACCTTTCTGCCATTTCGACTTCAGTAAGGTAAAATAACATGGATGGTAAGTCATCTAAGTTCATCTCATTTGGCACAAAATGCCATCAGTTTGCTTTCTATTTCTTTTACACATTTTCCAACAAAAGTATTTCAGGGTTCATTTTTCGTGATCCAAAATTGAAGTATAATCATTTATTCAGTCCAGAAGAACAGTTTGAGAAACATTTCAAGCAGTTGTAATATGGTAGATGCCAGTCTTCTCAACAATTGTAAACAGCGAGTGGTTGGCCTACTGGGGCTCCTCTTGATTTAGTGCAGATTAATTGTATTGAAATGCCTCTTTCATTTTTCATTATGTAAAAAAGGCATAACAAGCATAGGCATCTTTAGGTGCATCAGTAAATATGTGCGAAGTTGCAAGTCGATTATGCCCCTCAGTATTCTTCGAGTAATGGTACATTTTTCGATATGATGCACATTTTTGTTCCACATATTGAAACTCTTTTGCATATCAGCAAGTAACAGTTTTTCCCTCGTGTATTGCAGCACTTTTGTGCATCAGCAGGTAACAATTCATCCCAGCCAATTTTATTTCTCCAAGGTTCCTTTAAAAGTAATTTCGGCAGTAACAACATGGGGGCAAATGATGCACAATCATATTCAACAGATTCTTCCATTGTAAAACAATTTATCAATGAATATTCCATTTCAGTCTCAGTAACATCTGACCTTGCTCCTCACTTCCATTAGAAAACCAGCACCGGCACTCAAATTGTTCTTCAGCTATTGTGGCTTGGAATATCAGCTAGTGAATCTCTTCAGTGTTGCTCATACTTGTAACTAAATTATCTGTGTATAAACCTTCTTTTAATTTTTTTGATTGTTTCCTGATATTCTGCATTTTGATACCTTACAATATTCAGGTGCTCTCTTGCAATAGCATTTAAACAGGAAGGATTTGATTGGCTCTAAATGCCACGTGACAGTGTCAGTAAATTTCACTGTTTTGATATCTTTCATCCTTCCACCACGAAAATCTTAAGACATCTCAATCTTTGGGCCTTACATTTAGTTGTAGAAAGGCTTGCTTGATGTCTGCCATAATATCTATTACCCCAAGTCTAAATTTCAACAGAAGTGGAAATATTTGTTGAGAAAACTTGATCTCTTACTTCAGCTTTCATTTAAGGATGTAGAACCTTGATGTTAAACTGATGCATAGACGACTGGACATATTTTCATAGTATTGCTTAATAATTTTAAGACAGGTCGATGAGGCAGATAATGAAAAAAATTATTAATGAATGGGTTTAACACAGTTTCAGTTATGCAATCATTTTCCCATCTGCATAGAACATCATTCTATTATCCAAACATGTCATCCTTAACTAGGTGTTTAGACATTATTATTAGTTATTATCAAGAACAGGATGTGCACTAATCATAGAAGTATTACTTCATTCATATCTTTGATCTTGATTAAGCTGAATGGTTTCTTGAAAATGAACTAATGTTTCTTGATTCAAGATATCAGCATATTTTCTTGTGATGGGACTATCTTATTCCTAAAATTTCCAAGTTCCAAAATTTTGACATTTCAAAATTTTGGAGATTTAAAGTCAGTAGATTAATAAAAGCATTTTTCTCGATTGTTCCTAATATACACAATCCTAATTTTCTTTAGACTGCTAAAATTTCGGATTTCACAATTTCTGTTCATCCTAAAAGCAGTTCTCCTAGTAATTCGGGTGAAAAGATGAAGTCCATGTTTAAAAGTTGAAAATTTATGTCTGCAGCGAATCTGCCTGCCCGATGTATCTGAAGGAATTTTATTTTACTCTGTCTTTATAACTTTGCTAGGCTATACTACAAATTATGCATAATCAAAACAGTTAATGTAGAATTTGCTGCGACATATTAGCCTGATACAAGGTCTCAGGTTATGCTAGTGCCATAAGTTCAAACTTGTGTGAAACTCGTTTAACTATGGGAGGATGCATTTGGTATAAAGACCCTGTAATGCATGAACTTTCTGCTCTGGTTTTACCTGTGTTTTTTTATGAACACCCTTTTACCGGTTACAATAACTTTTATTTTGCTCATTTCTGTGTTCATTCTTACATGTGTTGCACTGCTTTATGTCTTGGTTATTGCTTACTTGTTGCAGTGCTTACTTTTTCTTTCGCACCTGTTGAATTTTTAAAATATTATTATCATTAGAGCTGTTAGTCAAAGAAAAAGTTATACAGTCAAAAGTCTTTAATCCGGATGTCCATAATCCGGAATAATCTATAATCCGGACCTCAAAGCTACAAACTTTCTGCGGATGCACGTTTAATGTATAACAGATGGTATAAGTTAAAATTATCTAATTATTTATTCAGTTAATTTGCAGATGCTTTTCCTTAATCTTCTGATTGGATCCGGCTTATATTTTTTACAGACTGTTAGAGCAATTTATAAAAGTAAGCTTTACCTTTCAATTATGTAAAAAATTACCGATTCAAGGCTGCCAAGGATCTACAAAGCAAAGCATGTTCGATGTCCATTAAAAAAAGTGGAATTGCTGCAAAAAATTGATAAAGGCATGATAAATTGACGAAAGGTGATTTGTTTCTCTACCATTCTGAAATCTTTTACATCGTCGAAGCCGCAATGCATGGAGTTGATTTGTCTCCACTATCCTCATCTTTCAGGCCCAATATTTTCTTTTACTTTTGGCTCCACTTCCTCACTAATGTAGTGTTCATCTCGACTCCCCACATCAATCTTCCGCTTTTTTTTTTAATTTTGCTTACCCTTTAGACATACTGCTCTTTATCATAACCCCGGTTTCATATTTTAATTTTATAATTTTCTTTCTCTCATGCCATCTTACCAGATTTAAATTGATGCTCTATAATCCGGAAAAAACCCTAATCTGAAATCGTCAAAAGTCTCGACAAGTCCGGATTAAAGACTTTTGACTGTACAGCTGCTTTTAAGCATTCAACATTGAAGAAAGTGACAGAAATTGGAAACTGGGCCGCAGCTAGAAAATTTCAGGTTGATAAGAAATTTTTTTGGTGGTGGAAGTCTGAACAAGAATTAGAATAGGCTTCAGAATAAAAGATTTTGTCAGTCTGGTGTCATAGTCTGGCTTGTTTTAGAAGACAATTTAGATAAATGGACAAGAAAACAAAGAGAAAAGGGATTATCAGTATTGACAGTTAGAATTCACCTTCAAAAATAATTGCTCAAGAAATGTGCATTAAAAACTTTGTCGAAGGTTTTTGATGTTTCAGGTTCATAAAACAAAAGGCATTATCCATCAGGACCAAAACTAGAATTGGACAGAAGCTTCCCGGGGAGAAACTTGAAAAAAAGATAGCATTTTTGGAGTAAACATCTAAAAAAACTCATAATGTATAATTCAAGAACAAAATTTTAACAGAGGACAAATAATTAATATGGATGAAGTGCCGGTTACTTTTGACTGTCTTCCAAGCAGAAGTGTTCATTCAATAGATGAAAATACTATTTCTGTGTTAATAATTGGGATAAAAAAACTTCTTTGGGTTGTGGCACCAATGGAGAGAAGTTAACAGCTTTGAAAATTTTCAAAAGAAAACTTCTCTAAAGGGCCTTATTATTTCCGCCAATGGAAAAGAATGCATGCATGAAGAAATGATATTGTTTCGGCTGTAAAATATTTATCGAAAGAGAAAAGGTGCTTTTTCTCAGCTTCAGCGACTCATCGTTCTGGATTCAACGTGATCCCATTTAGTGGATGGTGTAAAATCTGAAGCAAAAATATTTAGCACTGATTTTGCAGTGATACCAGGTGGGTTATTACAAAAATTTTACAGCCACTAGATCTCACCATCATAAGAATCTTCAAGCACAAATTACAAAAGCAGTGGGAGGAATGGATAAGAAGTGGACCCCATTCCTTTACAAAATCTGGACGGATGAGAACAGATTCATATGAGAAAATTGCCTTGTGGGTCGATAAAGCTTGGCAATCAGTTTGATCTGATATGACCCTATTATTTTTCATGAAATTGGAAATTATCAAAAGATAAAATGAAGATAACAATGTTGAAAGAACTGATTTAAAACAGAGTGATGGTCATTTGTTAAGTTTATTTAATTCATACTTTGAAAAATCATATTTTGAAGGTTTTGTGTAAATAAATGTAATTTACTTTAGTTATAAAATTCTGTTTAATTATCTAATTTATGTTCTTTTTTCATAAAATTATAATTTGTGGTGATAAATATAGTTTACCAAACCAGTAAAAATAATATCTATTAGAAATCAACATAGTTCGTTACTGGCAAATTCAAGATAAGATTTTTGTTTATTTTTTATTTATTTTATATATTACTGTTCATAGTTATATTGAAAATGTAATAAAAGTTTTTCAGTGATGATTAACCAGTATGGAAGGGAGTTACTTAATAAATGAATATTAAGTGCCATGTTTCAGAATGCTTTGTTGTGACGTATATGGCAGTGCTCCTTATCTAATGAACTCCATTTTTTAGTCAATTATCATGTGTGTGGAATATATGCCAGGGTGGCTTATCTACCTGAAATTACAGTATATCAGCTCCAAGCAGTGTTTGTATTGGTGGTTCTCCTGAATCAACTTTTGTTAACTTAAGTCCTCAAGCTGTGAGCTGAGAAATTAATTGCATGTCCTTAAATCTGAATAAAGGATCAGAATAAAGGATTCATACATATTTTTGGTTGATCAAAAAGAGATACTTGACAAGAAAAATTATCACTTATGTTTTCTAAATGAATATTATAATGGTGATGCAGTGCTTCTGTTGTCTGTCCTCCTTTGAAACATTCTTGAGTCAGTATCACCTTCCTATTATGAGAAAACTGTAGTTCCTTTGCCAAAGCTTCTTCATTGTAAGAATGGTGAAATTCATCATCTAACAATGCTCTTACATATTTCATTCTACCTTTATTTCTAATATGAAGCATAAGAGTATTCACATATATTATTCTAGGAGATGATTGCACAGTAAAAAGAAAATTCTTTTCTTCTATTTTGGATTGTTCCTTCTTACTTAAATCCGAACATATCAAAGTATAACACCTTCAACCAAAAATTATACACTTTACATTACTTTACTTACATTTTACATTTGGAAAATTTTTGCCAAATGTCCCACTTTCAAACATACCAGACAGCATTTTTATTCTTGATTGCTACTGGTGTCTTCTCATCAAAAGACATTTTTAGTACTCTTCTGCTGTCTTGACTGTTGTGAGCTCTATCACAAAAAAATACAGTGTAACATAGAATCCGCTGTTTTGACTGTTGTGAGTTCTATCACAAAAATACAATGTAACATACATACAAAAAATACAATGTAGCTTTAACACATTCGGTGAAATGACTGCAAATTATGCTGTTATGCTTTACCCAGTATCAAATCATGCTTTCAAATGATGTTTCAAAGGCATGAGATAATCACAAATTCAATTTAGAAACTGATTCTGTATGGAATCTGATAAAAGAAAAATTGTTGAAAGAATTAACGACTTTCCTAAGAAATGAAGTTGACTGTTGTGAGTAATTATGCTGAACACTGTGCTTTAGCTTAGCACAGTGTTCCAATCAAAATCAGATTATGCTGAACACTGTGCTAAGCTAAAGCTAAAGCACAGTGTTCAGCATAATCTGATTTTGATTTATACACAAAGCAGAATCTGATTTCGATTTATACACGAAAGTTAAAAGGTCAACCCCAGATTTATATGTTATTGGTATACCATCAGCATCTGCTCTGTTTCTTGTTACGTCATGAAATAATCCATTTTGAATCCATTTTACAATCTGTTTTGCAATAAGGAACCCTTTTTTCTGCCCGTATACAGATGTCATGGGAAAAAATAGTCACAATGGATTTGGGAATGATCAAAATAGATATTTCCACTGGAATTTGATAATCTAAAATTTTCATATTACCATACTTCTTTTACTTTCTACAAGGAAGTATAGTAATTGCAAAAAATTCAGTTATCAGATTTCACCAGAACCATCTCTATTGACCATTCTTGAATCCATTTTGACAATATTTTTTTGCTTGACATCTGTATGTGGGGGCAGAATAAAGGACTCTTTATTCCAAAACACATTGAAAAATTGATTTTTTTCTTGATGTCTGTATTCTTTTTTTAATGGCTGGCCATTTTAATAGCGATTAGCCTTGCTCCACTGCAAGTGCCGGAAGTAATGGCCATTTCATTATGGAAGCACCTAATAGGTGTTTACCATTGCCTCCTATGAAAGGATGGACAATTACAATCGGGGCTTATCCGGGTTTCAAACCTGGCCCTTCTCTATGGCAGTCAGGGTCACTAACCACTATACCGGCTGGGTGGCTGATGTATGTATCTTACATAACTCAAAAAATGATTAGCCATAGAACATTGAAAGTTTGTATATGGGACTATTATAACATCTAGTTGTGTACCTCCCTTTTTATTGCAACTGGCAGTACCAAAAGTATATATATAATTACAAAACAATTCTTTTGAAA